GGGAGTGCGCTGAGTACTACCCCTACCCCTGCCCCGGGCAGGAGCCGCGGGGCTACGAACCATCCCCCAGCCACGGGGCCGAGGGGTACCTGCTGGAGGAGGAGCCCCCCCAACCAGGCAGCCAGGACTGGCCCGTCCCCAGCTTCCAGCCCGGCATGTTCACTGACCCACTGGGCGTCTCGCCGCCGGGGAACTGCACCTACAGCCCCCGGGGTTACGGGGTGACAGGGGGGCAGAGCAGGGCCCCGCCGGACTGTGTGGCGCTGGAGCTGGGCGAGGACAGCCCCCCGAGTGCCCCCCACCCACCAGGTGCCAGCCCTCAGCACCTTCCCTGGGCCTCCAACAGCTCCTCCAACAACAACATCAGCAGCGGCAGCCCCCGTGAGCCCCCGGCCGGCGACAGCTGGTGCTACCGCCGCATGATCACCTTCCGCGGGCTCATGGCCAAGCCGCTGGGCACGGTGCCACGCGGCCAGCCCCAGCTCGGGGGGTCCCCGCCGGGACACGACTTCCTCCGCCCGCGGCAGGATCAGCCCCCCGCCATGGCCGGCGGCTCCTCCTCCCCGTGCCGCTCGCCCTCCCCGCGGCTCCAGGCCTGGCACGGCCGTGACTCATCACCCTGCGGCCGCGCACAGGCAGTCACGCTGGCGGGCAGCCCCGCCACGCCGTGGGGCCCCGCCGCGGCCCCGACACCTGCACCAGGGGCCCCTTGCGATGCCCACCCGGACGAGAGCGCGGTGGGGGGCAGCCCTGCCTGCAGCCCACTGCCCCACGCCGCAGTGGGGCCAGGGGAGGCCACCCCCATGGCTGGCACCACCACCCCAAACCCTGGCCTGCCCGTTGAGCCTGGCACAGACAGCGCTCAGCCCACGCCAGAGCCCGCCGAGGCGCCCGCACCGATGCCCACGGAGGCCATGGCTGAGAGCGGCGCCTGTGCCACCAGCGATGCCGACCGGACACCGGACAAGACCTTCTCCAGCGGCAGCTTCCCCAGCGTGGACGAAGGCAGCGACGAGGACACGGCAGAGCTGACCTCTGGCGTCTTCACCGACTTCTCCGGGGACTACACGGAGCGGACGGAGGCGGCCCCGGCACTCAGGTCTCTGCAGAAGCAGGTGGGGACACCGGACTCGCTGGAGTCACTGGACATCCCCTCCACGGCCAGTTCCTGCGAGGTGCTCAGCCCCGGTGCCTTTGTGCCCGCTGGCCAAGCCCGTGCCCTGGACAGTGGCTACGACACTGAGAACAATGAGTCCCCCGAGTTCGTCCTCAAGGAGCCCCACGAACCCCGAGAGCCGGAGGCCTTCAGCCAGCTGGCAAAGCCACCCCCGGGGCTACCAGGAGGCGAGGGTGAGGGTCCAACCCCTGAAACGCGACTGCCCAGTGCCCTGGGGGCTGAGCTGCACAGCCTGGCCGAGAAGAGCCCCTACCGTGACTCTGCCTACTTCTCCGACTGTGACGCTGAGGCTGAGCGCGGCCCCAAGGACGAGGGAGACAGTGATGGATCCCGCACCCCGGAGGCAGAGGAGGGTCCCCGCTCCCCTGAGCAGGACGTGGGGCGAGGGGAGGACCCGCTGCACCCCCCGGGGGCACCTGGCAGCCCCCCAGCAGTGCCTGGTGTTGTGGTGGCGGTGCCCATGCCAGTGGGGGGGGTTTTGGAGGGGGACCGGGAGGGGGCTGAGGACAGGAGCACACCGGCCGGCCCCACAGAGCAGGTGCCTGGCACGGAGCAGTGCCCCGCTGGCACGGGGCTGGTGCCGGGCAGCCCCCCACGCCCCGACACTGACGTCTGTCCCCCAGGCTCTGTGACCCCCAAGACTTTCCTCTTGACCCCCGTGCCAGTGAGCCCTGGGGAGCCACTGGCCATCGGAGGGGCCCACGTGCCTGAGGGTGTCCCTGGAGTTGGAAGAGCTGTGGCAGGGGATAAACAGACTGTGCCCCCCTGCACTGGGGCCTGGGGAGCTGGGGCTGCCCCCGGAGGGGACGGGGGTGGGTGATGCACCGGGAGGTCCCAGCACGCTGCTGCCGAGGGCTGAGCCAACCCCGGACCTCTCCCCGCTCCCATCGGCCCCTGAGCACCGCGAGGAGCCGGAGGAAGAGGATGAGGATACGGAGGACAGCGACGAGTCGGACGAGGAGCTGCGCTGCTACAACATCCAGGAGCAGAGCGAGGAGAGCGAGGAGGAGCCGGTGGCTGTGCCCATCGTGGTGGCCGAGAGCCAGAGTGGCCGGAACCTGCGCAGCCTCCTCAAGATGCCCAGCCTGCTCTCTGAGTCCTTCTGCGAGGACCTGGAGCGCAAGAAGAAGGCTGTCTCCTTCTACGACGATGTGACCATCTACCTCTTCGACCAGGTGGGTGCCCTGGGGGGGCAGTGCTAGGCACTGGTCATGGTCCCACAGCATTTTGGCGGTGGCAGCCATCCCCAGCTGTGCCCCCAGTGAGGTTCCTTCCTGCTGTTTCTCCATCCTCAGGAAAGCCCCACGCGGGAGCTGGCTGAGCAGGGCTTCCCAGAGCCCCCCCCTGCCTTCGGGGCAGCCCCCTCTGCCTTCGGGGCAGCCCCCTGCCAGTGGCAGCCCCCCCAGCCCCACGGACAAGCTGGGAGCCTCGGACGACTCCTCAGATGGCAACGCCTCGGAAGAGAGTAAGAGATCAGGGGGTTGTGGGGCTGGTGCTTATGGGGGGG